TTTTTTTTTTGCCAGAGTGGTTATTGAAATTGAGAATATTCATTGGATCAATTTCAAGACAAATATCTCAAGTCAGGCTGGCTTCTGCTGAGCAAATTTTTAATGAAGGAAAATATCCATATATTGAAATCAGCTTAAAAAGAAAGTCCTTAAATATATATATTACTGTAAAATCTAGAAAAAAATGTACATTTTAAAAACATCAATTAACCAAGTAATCACTGTAGTGGAGTTATTGACCCATGCAGAATTATGGCATATATTCATTAATTCTGTGAGCAAATAATTGTCCTATAAATACAAAGATAACCAATATGGTTTGGCTGTGTCCCTCCCCAAATGTCATCTTGAATTATAACTGTCACAGCACCCATGTGTCATAGGAGGAGCCTGGTGGGAGGTGACTATATTATGGGGATGGGTCCTTCCTGTGCTATTCTTGTGATAGTGAATGAGTCTCGTGAGAGCTAATGGTTTTAAAAAGGGAGTTTCCCTGCACAAGCTCTCTCTTTGCCTGCTGCCATCCATGTAAGACGTGACTGGCTCCTTTTTGCCTTCTGCCATGATCGTGAGGCTTCCTCAGCCATGTGGAACTGCAAGTCCATTAAACCCTTTTTCCTGTATAAATTACCCAGTGTAGGGTATGTCTTTATCAGCAGGACTAATATACTAGGTATGGCATACTTTGAGGTATCTTACTGAATCTTGTAAAGCTGGGGAATTTCTCTTGTATTTTGGTAGTGCTTAGCTTACAAATTGTAGGATAAAGCCATATTCCCAAGAATCATGAAAATTAGTTGAAACATTTTGATTTGGTCTTTTTTTTTTTTTTTGACTTATGCTTTAATGGAGGCAGATAGAAAATTCATCAATGCAAAAGAATGTTTTACATACTCATTAACCTAGTGATTAATGTAAATTATATTTTGGCAATGTAAAATACAGTGTGTTTGGCCTCAGAAAGAAACTACAGAGTTAGCTGCAACTTAAGATAACTGGAAAGGCTCCTTACATTGTCTTTGCATACCACCTTTATTATAGTAGTTCTAAATGATATCTAGGGAGGGAATTAAAAAATGATAATTTTTCCAGCTGTGGTTCAGAGAACTCTAGTGAAGCTGTTTGGCAATGACATTGTGGGACCATGAAATTTCTCCAGAAGTATTTCCAATAACAAGCAGTTAAGAAGCTTAATAGTTTCAAAGTTTGGAAAGCACCTAAGATATCTTAGAGAATTTAAAAACATTATAAACCCCACCTCTTTCCTACAGAGACATTTTAAAGCATGGACATAACTTTAAGGAGATTGGGAAAACATGAGTAGTTTTCATAAAGTTTCAATGAATACCCCAAGACACAAGTGTTGAAAACACTTGTTTTCAACTGTTCACTAAAACGTCACTTTGGAGGTACAGGTAATGCTGTACTTGCAGTGAGAGGATTATTTTATCCCTAGTTAAAAGCATCAGGTGTCAAGCTTGGCTTCCATTTACACAGGATGTACCAATAATCCCTATAATAGTGAATGATTCAAGTACTATACTACATTTCCAACATATATTTGCCTATTTGCTTAGTCGGTACTAGGGTTCTTTTAAACCCCATAGATTTGTAGAGTATTTTAAAAGCCTAGAACTACCTCAAAAATAGTCTTGAAATTATACCAAGCTCTAAAAGAGCTCACTGGATATTTTAATAACATTTACAGAAAGAAAGACAAAATTTGCAGTAGCTGAGTTTATTTCAAGTTAAGAATAATAATGTAGAACATGTGGGCTAAAATGTTTGGTAATTAATGTCAAAAATTGCCAAGATTATTAATATATATTTTGATAATCACTATTGACCAGGTTAATTTTTTGTGCAAAATACACTCTATATTAATAGAACAGGAAAATCGTTATTTCAGACCACTAACAGAAGAAAACCCACAGCAAGAGAAGCACCTCTAGGGCAATTAATTGTTCAGGAAGTTTACTAGCTTTAGAATACATCATTACACTTCAATTACAGAAATGTTTCATTTTTAAAACTAGAGTGTTTTAATGTACTTTCAGTACCGAATCAATCTAAGGAGCCTTGGAGGCTTGTGAAAAAGACATATCCACAAAGATGCTGCATTTCTAGTGTGGGGGTGAATTAATACTTCTGTAAGAAGGAAGGAACTGAATCACCTCAGCATCAATAAACAACATTTTTATTTTAAACAGCAACTCATAATCTGATGACTCATTTTGCTTTACTAGTTCAAAATTAGGCAGGAGCAGAACTAAGCTAACTGGCCAGACCCAGAAATGCAGTCACGCAGCTCATGATGTGTGATAATCGGCAGAAAGGCCGCTCAACTCTTGTCCATCCTTCACATCTGTATAGGTGTTCAGTATAACCACTTGTCTTTATCAGCTTTAAGCTGCATACAGGCAGAGAGATCACAAACTGCAGGGAGGTCGTAATGGTCTGAAGGGAAATTATGTTCTTCCTATAGAGGTGAATTAAGTAATACTTCCTGGGCCTTCTTTCGAAGCAGCCACTTGTCTTCTCCAGAGGATAACTGCTGAGGTTGCCCATCTTCTTTTCTGGCAGGACCTAGTCAGCTGTGTTAAAGGGAAACCAGGAAGTGGTCATGGGACTTTTAAGCTTTTGTTTATCAACTCTGTCTTCAGTACTAGGCACTTCCTTGAGACTTCCTTCTTTTTGCTTGGGGGACCGATAAGCTACTCAAGGGGCTATTCTTTATGACTTGGAAGGAATCAGCAATTCTAGAAGGAACCATTGCCTTTGGTGCTTTAGTTCTATTCTTTTCTAGAACGACAGAGTCACATATTCAGGGAATCTTTATGCTTCTCAGGCTCAGGTTTGGGCATCCCATTTTTATCCTTTCCTTCTTTCTTCAGAAGCCACTTATACAGAGCCTCCTCACAATTCTCATCACATACACAGCCAAAGTTTGTGCACGGCTTATTGGCTCTGCACACCTCCTCTACCTTACATGGGTCTTGATGATTCTGGACAACCCAATCCTCTGTAACCATGCTGGGGGTGGACAGTGGTTTCTTGGCCTCCAAGTGGTCATTCAGGCACTTCAGATTGCCCAGGTTTTCAATCTCCACACCTTTGGGCTGTTTACTCTGACAGTTGGTATAGGAGTCAGTCTTGACAAGCCAATCATTCACATTACAGGACTGGAACAAGAACTTAAACTTCTCACTGATTTCACGATTACCATTCTCAGGCTTCCCCAGCTGATGGGATTTCTGGGGAGTCACCAGCCAATCTGATAGGTCCATCTCATCTTGATTAGGAAGTTCTAGACCTTCAACCTTTTCAATGGAGAAGGAACTAGTAGTGGAATGGCTGTTACACTTTTGATAACCTGGTTTTTCAGGAACTTCCTGTTGCTGATTCTTCAGGAGCCAGTTTTCTAAGCTCTTTAGATTTCCCCAGACATTACTGAAGAAATTGCAGGCTCTGGAAGAAGTCTGACTATTCTCCAAGGTCTGCTGTTGGGTGAACCAATGAAGAATCAATTTCTTTATTGGTGCTGGATATGTAAGGGGTCTGATGACCACTGGCAGGTTTGCTTCCAAGGAGTCATTCGCTAAGAGAGACAGCTGCAAAACTGGATGCTGACTTCTGCTTTGGCATTGGAATATAGCCTCTCCTCTCCAGGAAGGGCCCAGTATTTGGTGAACTGTGAGCCATCAAGTGCTCAGGAATTTGAATGGTTCTGGGAGACCCAAATGTGGTGATGGTGTGGCACAAAGCAGTTGTGTCGGCTAAAGAGCAGGACAATTGAATCTTCAGGTTTAAGGGTCAAACTGCCCAGTCTTTCCAGGCACACAGAGAATTGAGTAGCTAGAGCTTTGTTTTGGGTACACTCCATTTGATGAGTAAGACAACTGAACTGGCCCAATAGCCAGTAGAACTGCTGAGCCTGCTGTTATGAAATGTCTCCTCTTTAAGCTGATAGATGAGGTCTACCTGTTCATATAGCCACACTTACGGTGTCTAAGACATTCCAGGTAATGGTTTGTGCAACTGTGAATCTGAGCTTTGACCTCTTGCAAGTTATCTTTAATTTGCTGTTCAGCCAGGAGAACTCCACCAATAGCAAGCTCCCAGTCCCTCCATGCATCACTACACCTCAAAAGGAGTTCTCTAGTACTGGAGCTGCCACTCTGGTCTTGGAAGGTATTTCTTCTTCTCACTGCTCCAGGCCAAGTGCCTCTCTGGGTGATATGAGGGGACCTTGGGTGGACTGAGACATGGCCCCACACTAACCTAGGGCCCAAAGCTGATTAGATTATTGATCAAATTCTTTGATTTCTTCCCATCAGAAAGCAGGAAAAGATGCTGAGTCACATGAGCAGGTAGGAAATCCTCTCTACTTACATGATTTTGCCATTTTAGTGGAATTAGTCTGTTCTGCCTGTGACAGTATATAAGGGTAGAAAGCTGCTCATACAAGGCTGAGTTATATTGGCTTTTACAAAATTTATGGGCTGCTTTAAAATCTGGTTGATTGGATAAATTCATGGGGTTAAATATATTATGAACTTAGTTATCAGGAGTGAATTATTGTCTGTGGAGCAAAAAATATTTTAAAATGTGGTCTGTTCTGTCACCTTACACATTATTGAGATCTCTTACTGATACAAAACTTTACCCAGGAGATAGAACCTAATTTTTCATTTTGGCCTAAGCAAAAAATAAATAAAAAGATAAACTGCCAGCCATAATCAGGCATGTTCAAATGTACAGGATTATTTTATTTTCTATAGAGTTGACACCATAATAAATCTGGATTTATGAAATCCATAATTTTTTCCAGTTTCTGCCACTAGTTGTGAGGCCTTGATGAATCAGCCTCATGCTGCTAGGCCTCACTTTTAAAATAGGATGTCATCCACTGTAGGATTGTTGTGAGGATTAGCTGAAGAAATGCATGCACGATGCCTCACAACACATTAATAAACACTCAGTAGAAGGTGGCAGCTGCTGCTCGTCAGTCAGATGGTCCAGAGAGTTGGGGGGAACCAAGAAAATTAGTCCCCTGGGAAGAAGTTTGAGGATGTCAAAACCCACAATTACATACATCTGGGTAGCTTTTTGGTTTTGGCGAAAGAATTGGAGTAAGATGGCATCATCCTTTGTCTGGTTCTTTCTTTTCACTGAAAGTCCTTTTAAGATTTGTATTGGCATCAGAAGGCAGAAAACTGTAATTCCAAACCGTGATAAAACCTGCAGTTTAAATCATAAGCTTATCAGGCTGGGAATAGTGGCTCACGCCTGTAATCGCAGCACTTTGGGAGGCAGAAGCAGGTGGATCACCTGAGGTCAGGAGTTCAAGACCAGCCTAGCCAACATGGTGAAACCCCATCTCTACTAAAAATACAAAAAAACTAACTGGGTGTGGTGGCACACACCGGTAGCCCCAGCTACTTAGGAAGCTGAGACAGGAGAATCACTTGAACCTGGGAGGCAGAAGCTTCAGTGAGCCAAGATTGTACCACTGTACTCTAGCCTGGATGAGACAGAGCCAGACTCCATCTTAAAAAAGACAAAAATCATAAGCTCATCAGACAGTTGGTGTAGATTTTCTGAGAAAGATTACAATTAAATTGTTGTATGAAAGCACTATTTTTAATGTTAAGGCAATTTATAATATTTATTTAGAGAATATTTGCTTACATTATTGTAAATGGACATATCTTCATCTAGTAAAGCTTTTGGTTCTAAGTTTTGATTTCTTGCAAAAACCTTTTCTTACCATTTTTCTGTTTAGAAGATTGGTTAAATGTCAAAGGTGCCTTGATTCAAAACAGGAAACTTGGAAGGCAGAACATTTTAGTAAAGGTCCTTCAGTCACACAGGTTAAGATTGTTACCCAAACTTTTCTTTATAGTTTAGTAGATTAACATAGAGTAGACAGAGTATATATTCATGAACCTAAAAAAAAATATTGGAAGGTTACCGTGTGCCAGGCACTGTGCTTGTTTCTGAGGAAATATGCCCTTTCTCTGGGAGAGCCAGTTGAGATAAGCAATGAGAATTGGTAGGGAGAGGTCTATAAACAGATAAATTAGAAGACAAGAAGGCAAATACTATTTCTCAGATGAACAAAAGACTGTGGAGCATTGAATAGAACACTTAACTGCCTGGATAAGGTGTGGGAAAATGTATCTCTGAGGAGGTGCTATTTGAACTGAGTAGGCATTTGTCAGCAAAAAAGTGAAGGACTTGCATTGCAGACACCTAGTTTTTATTACAGCATATCTATAATTTTAAAAAATTACCATGCTCAAAAATGGTTACTGTCTCATATATATCATGTTATTTCAGAGTTTTTTTTGAACTTCAAATTTAACATGATGATTCTGATAAAATATCTGTTCATAGAAGAAAAGGTAAATTGTGATTATTACTTATTTCACCTTGCACATAATTCTTTTTACAATTTTTTTTTAGTATATATGCTGACTTTATATCTAATTTAGAAACATATGAATGCATTTGATGTAACACCAATAGTCACAATAACTGGTAAAATTAAGCATTCATCAAGTTTGACTCTGATGTTAGGAAAAAATCTAAATGCAAAAGGAAGCAAGTTACAGGTTATGGCAAAGATTATAAATCATGAGTAGTTATTAGACATTTCTAATTAAATTTTTTAAATTCTGAATTTTATCTTTTAAAAAAGATTTTTGTTTTTATTTACTTTTTCTTAACGTACAACTGTATTAGTTTTCTCTTGCTCCTGTAATAGATTACCACAAACTTAGTGTCTTAACACAAATTTATTATCTTATAGTTCTGTTGGTCAGAAGTCTGACATGGGTCTCACTGGGGTAAAATCAAGGTGTCAGTAGCTCTTCATTCCATCCTGTAGGATCTAGAGGAGAATCAGTTTCCTTGCCTTTTCCAGCTTCTATAGGTTGTCCTCATTCCTTGGTTCATGGCCCTTTTACTCCATCTTCAAAGCCCTGAAGGATGGATTGAATCCTCACATGTTATTACTCTGCTGTTCATTTCTACCGCCCACTTTCATATTAAAGGATATTGATGATAACATTGGGTCCACCTGGACAGTCTAAGATAAATCTTTTTACATTGTCAGCTGATTAGCAACGCTAGTTCCATCTGCAACTTTAATTCCCTATTTGCCATATAATATAACATATTCATAGGTTCCAGGGATTCAGGTGTGGACATGTTTGGGAAGCCCTTCTTGTGCCTATCATAGTAACATGCTGCTTAAAAAAAAAAAAAAATAGAAAAATATGGTCAGCCAAAAAACAACATAAAAGCACCATAATACCACTGATCTGTAGATGAGGTTACATACCCATCAATATATATATTTCTTCTGTGTGTGTGTGTATGGGGAGGGTGTCAATTTAAAATTTTTTGAAAAAAGTGTCACACTTCCTCTTAATCTTGAATTCCTTCTTCAGTGATCTGGTCTCATGGATTTAAATGACATCTAAACATCGAAGGAATGTTGAATTTTATCAGATGCTTTTTCAGCGTCAATTGAAATGCTTGTACGCTTTTTGTCTTTCGTTCTGTTGATATGATGTATGACATTGATAGATTTGTATATGTTGAACCATCCTTCTATCACAGGGATAAACCCCACTTGACCATGATCTTTTTACTATCAGGCCAGTATTACTGATACCAAAACCAAAAATATAATAAAAAATGAATACTAGAGGCTAGTATTCAAAAGAATAGTATTATTTTTCTCTTTAGTATTCAAACGAATACTAGCCTGGTATTAGTTCATTTTCATGCTGCTAATAAAGACATAACCAAGACTGGGCAGTTTACAAATGAGGTTTAATTGGACTTACAGTTCCATATGACTGGAGGAGGCCTCAAGATCATGGTGGAAGGCAAGAAGGAGCTAGTTACATCTTACGTGGATGGCAGCAGGCAGAAGGAGAGCTTGTGCAGGGAGATGCCTGTTTTAAAATCATCATATCTCATGAGATCCATTCACTATCAGGAGAATAGTACAGGAAAGACCCAGCCCCATAATTCAGTCATCTCCCACTGGGTCCCTCCCATAATGTGGGAATTATGGGAGCTACAAGGTGAGATTTGGGTGGGGATGCAAAGCCAAACCTTATCAACCCTGTAGAATTTTTTTTTTTTTTTTTTGGAATGTCTTTGGTTTGGGTGTCAGAGTAATACTGGCCTCATAGAATGAATTTGAAAGTATTCCCTTTTCCTCTATTTTTCAGAATAGTTTCAGTAGGATTGGTGTTAGTTCTTTAAATACTTGATAGAATTCAGCAGTGAAGCCATTGAGTCCTAGGCTTTATTAGACTTTTTATTACGGCTTCAATTTCATTACCTGTTATTGGTATGTTCAGGTTTTGGATTTCTTCATTGTTCAATCTTGGTAGGTTATATATGTCTAGGAATGTATCCATTTCTTCTAGATGTTTTCAATTTATTGGCATATACTTGCTCACAGTAAGCACTAATGATCCTTTGAATTTCTGCAGTGTCAGTTGTAATGTCTCCTTTTTCATCTCTGCTTTTATTTATTTGGATCTAATCACTTTTTTCCTTAGTTTAGTTTGCTCTTGATTTTCTAGTTAAGATGCATTGTTTATTTGAAGTTTTTCTTCTTTTTTAATGTAGTCACTTATGGCTATAAACTTTCCTCTTAGTACTGCTTTTAGTGTATCCCATTGGTTTTGGTATGTTGTGTTTCCATTATTATTTGTTTCAAGACATTTTTCAATATCCTTAATTTCTTCATTGACTCACTGTTCATTCAAGATCATATTGTTTGATTTTCATATATTTGTTAGTTTCCAAAATTCTTCTTGTTATTGATTTCTAGTTTTATTCCAATGTGGTTAGAGAAGATGCTTGATCTTATTTCAATTTTTTGAATGTTTTAAGCCTTTTTTTGTGAGCTAATATTTGGTCTATTCTTGAGAATGATCCATGTACCAAAGAGAAGAATGTGTTTTCCCCAGCCGTTGTATGAAATGTTCTGTAAATAGCTATTAGGTCCATTTGCTCTGTAGTGCAGATTAAGTCTGATGTTTTATTGTTAATTTTTTGTCTTGAAGATATGTCCAGTAATGAAAGTGGAATGTTGAAGTCTCCAGTTATTATTGTATTGGGGTCTATCTCTTTAGGTCTAATAATATTTGCTTAATATATTTGGGTGCTCCATGGTTGGCTACATATAGATTTAAAATTGTTATATCTTCTTGCCATATTAAACCCTTTGTCACTATTTAGTGACCTTCCTTGTCTCTTCTTACAGTTTTTGTCTTGAAATCTGTCTGATATAATTATAGCTACTCCTGTTCTTTTTCGTTTCCATTGGCATGGAATAACTTTTTCCATCCCTTTAGTTTCAGTCTATGTTTG